GAAGAAGAAGAAGAAGAAGAAGAAGAAGAAGAAGAAGAAGAAGAAGAAGAAGAGGAAGTCCCCTGCCCTTCAAAGAATAATATCGGTGGCAGTGGGCTGACGGCAGCAGCAGTGGGGGCAAGACTGATCTTTCTAAAACAACATAATAAGCGGGTGTGTCTGGCACAGAGATTTAAAAGACTCGTGGATTAGGGAGAAGAAAGAATCAGGGCACGGGTGCAGCAGCGCGTCTCTTGTGTCTCCGCAGTCACAGAATGATGCCTCTCGGGGGTGTTCTACCGTACTTTAGACACGCAGCAGGTTGTTGCTGTTGCTGCTGTCGTTGTTGTTCAGTTGTGTTGATGATAGCGAGACAGCACGACGACGACCACCGCTATATTGTTTCGTTTTACTTTAAGTAAGAGTTTTACAGCATTTGCAACAGAGACAGGTCATGAAAGTGCCCAATATTAGGGGTGTTACTAGAGAGTAACGTGCAAAGATAAGAAGGAGGAGAGATAATGACGATACATGTTTGATAGGCAAGAAGGAGCAAATCACACGAGAGCGCCAACCAACCTCCATGGCCATATTTCGTTCGGCACAGACGTGGACAATAGTAACAACAAAACGGAAGTAAGTAGTAAGAGCTGACTATACCAGAGAGCCTATCAATAACTCGGAGCGGAAGAGCAGCAGTTCTTTTCAAACGATTACTCACTCGGTGGTAGTTTAAGCCGTTCAGTTAAGTGCTAATTTGCCGGGACACAGAGTAACAACGGGCACATATCGCCAGGAATATACTGCAACGGTAAATTTAATATGTAACACAGTAGATGAAGCAGACCACGTTGATCTGAATACCCACCAATCGCTCGCGTTAAAACGAAAAGGCAGCGAACAGACGAGAGAAGAATAATGTAGTCCAATTCAGCGTTTGTTGTGTCGTTCAGTTGCAGATCACAGGGAACTTCATGATATTTAATGACCACAACGGTTCAGTGGCACAGGATTAGCGTGCGCGTTGTTTGTTTGACTTTGGAGGGAAAAGAAAAGCACGTCGACACGATAACGCTAATTAAACGTAGGGAGAGACGCAAGACGGACAGCCAGAAATAGGTCTAATGAAATAACGGAGGGAAGGAAATAAAGTAGGATCTACCGGTGGTGCTCGCAAATCTAGATTGGTACATCCGAAAGATAGGAAAGAAGTGGAAGGATCAGCCCATTTCACAGCACGTACGAACCATCAACAACTCACAGTAGGTACATCGCCCGGAGGTGACGGGGTCAAAAGGCACATGTGTCTTCATGGAAGGATAAGCAGCAGACTAGAACATCTTATTCTACCTTGGCGTCATTGGCCATTGCCTAGTTCACGAGCTTGACCGGTACAATAATCTACAGGACTGAGACCACCGGCGTCTGTGTTGTAGTAGCAGTCAGACGCTTCAGCTGTCTCACGCAGAAGACCTGAGTTCGATAGCGGTGTGAAGAGAATCTTTACCGAGTTTCTCGGTTTTTCTGCTTGGACGTTGTATCGCTTTCAGGCAGGGTCGGAGTCCGCCTCCTAAATTATCTTAAGTGCGTGCATGGGAGCCTAAAAGCACCTACATTGAAAGAAAAAAAAAGGAATGAGATCACCATGAAAACGGTCACTAATAACTGCTATGAACAAACCGATTTTTAAGCTTGACGGTCAATAGTCCTTCGAAACATGCACGACCCCCCCCTAAATCAAGAAAAAGTTAGATAAGAATATAGATTTTTCTTTCTACTTCGTGAAACAACATATCATTGAGAACAAAAAACTCACAAGTAATCACAGCCAATGCAACACAATACAGTTTGAATGAACATTTCCTTGACGGCGTTTGGCCATTGTGTGTGTGAGCGAACCGCTTTAATTTAAGAGGGGGAGGAGAATGCACAATCAACAAACAGAACCTGAACGGAAGGCAAATTTTCCACACAATGACAACGAGACAGGTGTGAAGGAACAAACTGCCAAGGGGCACAATAATGAGTGCTGTTCACGCCTTTTCCCTCTTCGTTCCGCACTGAAACTGAAAGCATTAGTCTCACAGAACGGAGAACGCATGCTGCATTCAGCAATAGGGACGCCACCAACTTTTTTTTGACTCGTTCATTTTCGAGCTTCATTTTTCGATTTTACCATTGCAAGATGATGTACACAGGTTTCAAACAAAGGAAGACGACGAAGTGTTGAGTTTACGGCCAGTTCGCACGATATAACGCCCATATTTCGCCAGGAACAGAACAGGGCAAAAGTTACACCCAGAAGAAGAAGAAGAAGAAGAAGAAAAAGAAGAAGAAGAAGAAGAAGAAGACCACATCAAAAGCGCCGTCCGCTAACCACAAGTGAGTTTCGGAACATCACGTTACTGGAGTGCTGGGGCTTTTGGTTGGAATAAAAGAAGAGCTCACTGACGCGAATGTGGTCATGTAGTATCGGGAAGAAAAAAGTGACCGGGACAGACAAATAACCGAGGAGATAGAAAAGAAGTAGGACTCACCCACCAGAGGCGCTCTGTAACTCTCATCACCCGGAGGCCGGATAAAACAACGCGTGGGGACAATGGACAGGAGTGATCTAACCTTTGTGCCCGGTGACGAGGCCTCGCAGGAGGCTGTGGTGCCGGCTATCGTCCAAGAAGGTGAGTATTTTTTTAGATTTAGTAAGAGTTTTATGGCACTTGCAACACCATTAGGTTATATAAGTTATTATACAAGTGCCGAAGATTAGATGTGTGGGGTTATAAGAGAATAACAAACATAACAAATGGAGGAAGAGGAAAAACAACAACAACAACCCCACATTATGAGCATCCGCCAACCGCCCATACACATACTTTTAGGTATACAATAAATACAGCGAGGGGTTATGTAGGCTACTAATGTCTGTTACTCTGATCCTGAAGAAAGCGGAAACTTTTCAGAAGAGTGGCCTTCGTTTGCAAGATGGTATGTGGAGGAGGAGATGGAGAATGAGGAGTAGAAGGAAGAGGAGGAGAAAGTGAAAAAGAGTGTGTGGGTGTCTGTGTGTGTGTGGAGGGCAGGGTGGGGAGGGGGCGGAGAGAGACACACAGAAATAGATGGGAGCATAGGAAGCTAGAGAGAGAGAGAGAGAGAGAGAGA